ATTTTGAATGGTCAGAGTTACATACTTGTGGAGTAGTGGGGTGTATAGGAGAGATACATTAGCATCAATTCTGAAAGTTTCAAATTATAACCATCATCAACAAATTTTTGATAAATTATCAAAATATAATTGATTTTTTTGGGCGGTATAGTGCAAGTCCGTCCCGTATTGTATAACTTTGGAACCGATAACGCCAGGATCTTATCCATTTAACCACCTTGTAGAGTAAATACTCTGGTATCAACGTGGCAAATTTAAAATTTACGCCATAGTCAGTAAATTTTCCAGAAATTTTCAAAATTGATTGATTTTTCCAAATTAAAACTCGGTTGCTCGCGCTTTTGAACTCGATTTTAAAACTAGCTTTTTAACAGCTTTAAGATTTGAACTTTGGGCCCTTCTGCGCTTTGTAGAGCAGGAAAGTTTCGGCCGGGGCCTTTTTCCGGGGTATTTTTTACATGTCAGAAAAATGCACTTTTATACAAACGGTTCTAACGGTTTCTTTACCGAACTTCTACCAACCGTTAAGCACATTGTTACCCCCCATAGTTTAGACGCTTTGCAACATTATAGAGTTAAAACCGTGCTCTGTTTTCGATTAAAACTCACCCGACTTGGACGGAAAGTGGAGCAAAACTTTACAATCACCATTAAAACCGCCGGCGCATCGTAAAAGGGGAACCTTTTACAATTTTGAAACAATTCAGCAAGCAATTTTTCCTTGTTCAGACGGCGAGTTTTTCACGATTGAATTTTCAACTTTTTTCTGCAAAATTCTCGTTACGCAGCCCGAAATAAAACTAGTTAAATCCTGCTAAAAAGTATAAAATTTTCAGCATTTTTAGCATTTTGGGTGTAAAACGTCGTTAAAACTGTTCAGGTGGTTTTTTTAGCCAAACTTAGGAATTTCTATTAAGGTTTTTAGGGCGTCAGAGAACCGATTGCTTGCTTTACAGGCTTAACATCAACCCGAAGGAGTTAAATTTAATATTTTCCTTGCATTTGCTTGAAGTAGTGACTTGACAAGGTAATACACTTAACTGTTAAAGGGATTATGCAGGTCCAAAGGGTAACAATTCCCGCGTAATTAATTCCCCAACATAACGCGACTGGAGGTGATTATTTCAAGCCGAAGAGCTGAAGTTTCACTAATATCTAATGCCAGTGAAAAATCGCCCTTTGGAGCAACTTGGCAACGACACTGACGAAGCGATACAAGACGATTTCAGTTACAGCCTAATTAATTAAGTGGATTAGTTCGCATTGAAACCGGATGCGAGATCAAATTTTCCAATTTTTGGGGAAAAAGTCCCCAGACTATTTAAATATTCGCATAAAACCACCTTACCTGAAACCGCTGGTCTGATGTGTAAGTCAATACGCCAACTGTGAGAATGTGCAGATCCCTTTTGCGTATCCAGGACACCTGAAAATCACCAACTAAGCGTAAAATTCCATTTGAAATAAACATGCACCCAAAGAAAAAATGCGAAGCTTGACACGCGTTTTTTGCTCTATAGATAGAGCCATCATTCTCGTTCACCCTCATTGTAAATTAGCCGAACCGCCTCGCTCTAAAACAATTTCCAACTTGCTTAAAATTTTCCAAGCTGGCTTTATTGATTCATTGTTCTGGCTGTTATAGGTAAAGTTTGAAGTTTGTTCTTTCCCTTAGGGCTTTTACAGTCGCATAAATCGCCAGCCAGCTCAGAATTGGCAGTTTTTCGTTAGGACTTTGGTAGAAACTTTAACGTTTTTAAACAGTGCACTTTTTGAAAGCGCTTGCAAAATTACTCAATAAAACCAAGCATTTTATACGCAAAAGTTTTGCAAAAACATCCGAACCCTTAAGGAAATTGACACGTTGTTTCTCCAGAAGCCTCCTTGCAGTGAAGTCCTCTGAAAAAACATCGCCAAATTGAAAGTAACTCGAAACTGGTGTTTGGTTAGCGCAACGTGCTTCAATCTGAAGCCAAAACTTCCTGGTAATGATCGTGAGTAGGCGATGGCTTTGCCTAGTTGCTTACAAGCAGATTCGGTAAACACGAGCCAAATTGCTTTTTCGCTTGTTTAAAGATTATCGGAAATCCCGCACAATCTGGGTCTGACGTTCACATGAATTCCTGCTTCTTCTCCCTGTTTCTCCTTGCTTTTTCTAGGACAGTGTGCGCATTTTTTCCGCAGAATCATCAGGATTTGGTTAGCAGCCGATTACGGGTTTTTGACACAAATCTTGAATTTTAAATCCTCAGCTGCAATCAATCGATCATCATCAACGACTTTTCCTCAAATTTTCTAGGTTTCAATGATTTTTTAAGAGTTTTGATCCAGTTTATTTTCCGCCTTTGGTAGTTTTTAAATTTGCGGAGCAAAAAGTTTGTTATTCAGAACTGGCCTCTTTAAGGCGGTAGGGCGGAAATAAAACAAAGTGAAAAAAATGTCCAAAGATCGCGCCTTAAAGCCTTTAAAAAGTGAAAAAATGTTCACATTTTAATAACTTATATGGATTTAGTTGGAATTTATAGCGAAAAAAGGGGCAAGTACCTTTAAACGAATCCTGGAACGCGCACCGTGATATCTGGTCTGGCTATGGAAAATTGAGCTTTTCAGAACTTTAGTGCGGAAATGGCGAAAAGTCAAAAACATGCTCAAACTTCAATGATTTATTCCGAAAAAACTACGAGATCCAGTCGACTCCAATCTGGCTAAGAGCGCACATCAAGCATTTTTTAGGGAACATAAAAGATCATCGTACAAGGTCTATTTATTGAGAAATCGCATCTTGAACTGAAAATATGGCAAAAACAAGGAAATATGTATGTCCAAATTTTAACATTTTATTCCGAGAAAATTTCAAAATGGATTTAGTTCAAGCTTTTAGCAATAAAAACGTGAAGCTCCTTTAAATAACGCTTAAAAAGTCAGCTTAACACCTGGCCTATTTATTGAGAAACTATTTATTCAAGACAGTAGCGCGGAAATAGGAAAAGTAAAAAAATCTGCCAAAGTTTAATAATTTATACCGAAACAATTACTAGATAGATTCAGCTCAAATTCCCCACGAATGCACATGAAGCCTTCTTTAAGGCATTTGGGAGAGCGTAGCTGCCTCTTGAAAGCGGTAGTGCGGAAATGAGGTAGTTTCTTAAAAACGTCCAAAGTTCTTTTTTTTTCGCAAACATCATTTAATAGATTTAGCTTAGATTCACTTGACATCGCACCGGAAACCTTCCTTAAAATGTGTTGTCGAGGGTAGTTTAAGAACGATTCTGTTTCATGAGAAATGGCCTCTTCCAGGCGATAGTGCGGAAATGGTCAAAAATGGAAAATTGTCGAAGATTTATAAACATTTTGTGTCAAAACTTGATTCAGCTCCAACTCACTTAGGCATGCTTCTGAGGCTCCCTTTCAATACTGCTGAGAACTGTTGCTTGATATCAGGTTTATAAATTGAGAAATGGCCTCTTGAAGACGGTAGTGCGAAAATGGAAAAAGTCAATAAAATATTCAAAGTTTAATAATTTATTTCGGAAATACTACGAGATGAGTGCAGTTCAAATTCACAGACAGACACACAGGAAGCTTTCGTTAACTGATTCTGAAGACCGGAGGTCGATATCCGGTCTACTGATTGAGTAATGGCTTTTTGAAAACGGTAGTGCAAAAACAAGAAAAAGTCGAAGAAATCCACAAGGTTTAATAATTAATTACCAAAAAACTACCGGATGGATTTCGGCCAAATTCACAAAGGAGGTCACCTCAAAGGGGAAATCACTTCTTTAAACCGGTAGTGCGAAGAGCCCAAAGTTTCATAATTTATGCCGCAAAAACCACTGAATGACTGGTATGATTGTGGCAAGTTTTGAATTTACGCCATTATAAAGGAGCTTTTGACAAATTAGCAAAATTTAATTCACTTTCCAAGACCGATTTTGTACCAGTTTGGCTCCCGCATTCAACAGCTTTTAAGTGGCCAAAGCGAGACACCTCCAGGGTCCTTCACTTGATAGCGTAAAGCTACTGGAATTTTTGACAATTTTGCAAAACTCCATTGACCTTTCAGTGAAGTTGTCTTATTTGTTAAATATAATTGTAAATTTTGCAATAAATCAAAAAAAAAATACTTGCAGAAATCGTCGTTTAACTCCCATCTAAATCGAACTTTAACTTTCGGCAATTTCCATACACCAAGCTAGAATAAAGTTTTCCTAAAATATAGAAATTTAATGCCCACGGAAGCAAACCCCATTATTTATAGTCGCAAAAGAACGGAAGTTGGTTCCGAGTTTTTAAAGTTTCGGATATGTTTGCTGCCAGATAAGGCTTTTAACGTGGAAAAGGCTTTTAATTTTCCATCAGGGATTTAAAAGAAAAATTCATTTCAAAACTATTTTTCTTACTTTAGGGGCTGTTTTTTCTCTCAGGGAAATGTTTCAATAGCATACACTTGCCGACAAATTCCCAATTAATCAAAGCACTAACAGCAGGCATAAACTTGTGTGCAAATCTGGGCTAATCCTGCTTGCTGCAGGGCGAAAAGGGATTAAGAAAACTAATTCTTGTGGCGTAGCTGGATGGTGAATTTAGGCGTTGAACATCCAACAAACAATGCGGGTTTGCACCTTTCAGCTTGTTGGGAAACTTTGCAAAACGCCGCCTTCTAACTTAAACAGCATTATTTTCAAGCAACGCGCAGTATGTTAAAGTGAGTTTTTGTTGCTCTGGAATAAATGCCATCATAATGGTAAGGTGTTGATCAATCGTGAGACCTTCGTTTCACCATGGCCGATAAAACCACACGCAATGATGCTCCAGTTCTTTATGGCTAACTTTGGAAATTAAGTCGCGTGATACTCTTCACTATCTTTAAATTGCCCAAACAGAATAGAATAGAATGATCAGTGTTCCAATTTAATTCGTTATCATTTCGGACAGGCAATCATTAATTTTGACTAATTGGATTCGCTGTGTCTAGCAGTCGAGTCGAGCCTTTGGCGGTGAAGACTTTGAGGCAACAACATCTTTTTTTTAATTCGATTCTAACGAAAATGTATGGAATGTTACTGGAGGCAATCCAGCACTACATACAAGTGAGTTGTAAGTTTGAGTGGTTGATTTTTTTGAGGGGTTATTTTCAGCTGGAATACGGGGAGGAGCTTTGGAAGGATATTTTAAAGACCTCAAATTGCAAATACACTGTTTTCAACACGCATCAGATCTATTCGGATAATTTGGCCTTAGAGCTGGGGGAGGCATGTGCCAAAATAACTGGAGGCCGATACAACGACTTTATTCAATATTTCGGCAAATGCTTCATTAGATTTACCTCAAAATTTGGGTGAGAAATTAAAGATTTTTGGCGTCAAACTCACTGGAATTTCGCTTTAGGTATGACGCGACCGTTAAGGCCACCGGGCGATTCTTCACGGATTTTCTGGAAAGTGTCGACAATATTCATCATCAGTTTTCTTTCACCTATCCAAAGATGAAAAGTCCGTCGATGTACCTGACGGAAATCGACGAAAATGGCTGCGTCTTGGTTTACAGAAGCAGCCGTCCTGGATATACCCACTATATTATGGGTAATCGTTCGTTTTAACCCGAAACAGTAAAATTTATAGTTCCATTCTAGGCGTTCTGGAGTATTGTGCCGAAGACTTTTTCCAGATGAAACTGAAAATTACCATTCTAAACGAAGCGAACTCGGCCAGTGGCTCGAAGAAGCAAGTTTTGGTTAACTTCCGATTGGACTTCGACAATCGAGCTTATGTGAGTGACTGTTCTCAAACACTCAATCTGGATAATTTCCCGATTTTCCAGATGGAGCGCAAAAATCAAAAAGACGTGGACAACTGTCGATTGGCCAAGCTTGCGCCTTTTTCCGTCGATCTTTTCATATCGCTTTTTCCTTTCGCGCTGCTCATCGATAGAAATCTGCAGGTGGTTGCAGTTGGGGAGAATTATTCAACCATTTGGAATCCGAATGAATTGTGCATTAATAAGCGAGTGACAAAATATTTTAGGCTTCGCAGACCTAAGGGCATTTATCTCACATGGAGAAACGTAAGTCGATGCTGATGGAAAATTCGTTTTATCTATTGCTTGTTACCTAAATTTTATGGGCCTAAAGCGGGAAACCGGACAAATGGGCGACAGTTGCAAAATTAATTCAATGGGGATTTCTGTTAAATAAAACCGATTTTAATTCGAGAACGTGGCGCGCCTCGGTTTTCTTACTCGCACCCATGGGCGACTATGAACGGTATACGATTGCTCCGCCGTGCTACGTTCGAAATTGATACACTCAGAGCTTAAAATATTTCAATTTTGAGCGAGTTAAAGTAATAATCCCGGATGGAAAATTAAAAGCAGTTTTCCTTGCGCCGTGTTTTCCGTAGCGGGCAGGAAACATTCGAAACTGAAAAACTCGTAAACCACTGCACCGTGTTCTTCTGCCACTATAAATAACTTTTTTTCTTTCCTGGGCTTCAGTCAAAATGTGAAATAAAAATGTTCATATCGTTTATTTCGCATTGCGTTTTGGCGAGACAACAGCGCCATCATCAGATTAAAATTCAAAACGAACCCATAATTGGGAAACATTGGATTCTTTATGTTTATTTTTCAGTGAAGTTGTATCTTTGGCGCTATTTCAAGCAGTAACTTCAACTTTACTGAAAAATCAATGGGGTTTTGTAAAATTGTCAAAAATTCTTTGAAGGTGGCGTAAAATCGCAACCTTACACTGCCAAGTGCAGAATTCTGCAAGTTTCTGGCTTTGACAATTTTTGAAGATTTCACGAAAATTTCTTTATAGTGGCGCAAATTCAAAATTCAGTGATTTTTTCGAAATAAATTAAGAAACTTTGGAGCTATTCAAAAAAATTTGAAATTTTTGCACTAGCGGTGTAATAAGGTCATTTCTCCATTACTGGACCAGATATCCAGCCATGCTGTTAAGCATTCTTAACGGGAAGCTTTATGTTTTTCCCCATGTGAATATAAACTGAATATTTTCGCCGGTTTTTTKATAATTAATTATTAAACTTTATAMATTTTTTCGAGATTTTCTCATTTTTGCACTGCTGAGTTCACAAAGCCATTGCTCAATAAACAGATSAGATATCAAACTGCGGYCTTTTGTATTCGTTAAAGAAAACTTCGTTTGTATCTATGTGCGAAGTTAAACTGAACTCATTTGGTAGTTTTTTTKAAACAAATTATTAAATTTTGGTTATTTTATTGAATTTTTKCMATTTTTGCWTTAGAGCCTTCAAGAGGTCATGGCTCCATAAAYACACTAGATCTCAAGCTGCTCTCTTAAGAATTAGTTAAAGCAAGCTTTACGTTTTTCCGTATGTGAACTTGAACTGAATTYATKGASCAGCATTTTYGAAATAMATTATTAAACTTTGGTCATTTTATWGACTTTGTTTATTTTTGCAGTACCGTTTTCAAAATGTAATTTCTCAAGAAATAGACTATATATCACGCCCCTCTYTTCAATWTTCTTTAAAYAARACTTAGAGTGCGTTTTGAAGYAAATCTAATAAAAATCCATAAAGCAGTTATCGGGAATAAATTATTAAACTTTGAAATTTTAGCCATTTGCACACTACAGCCGCCAAGAGTCGATTTCTCAACAAACGGACCAAATATCAAGCTGCGCTCCTCTGCGGTTCTTACAGAAGCTTTCGGAATTAATTACTGAACTTAGTAAAATTTTGTGGCTTTTTGCTTTTAACTCCCGTCTTCAAGAGGTCATTTAGATTGTCCACGGGCCAAAATAGGGCCCAGTTGCATAAACAGTTTCACTTGATTTATATTAAATAAAACCGATTTTAATGCGAGAACGTGGCGGGCTTCGGTTATCTTACGCTTATCTCTCTATCTTTTTGCGCCTAATCAAAAAATTTTTTCAGTCCAATTTAAACTACCTTTTAGAACATCAGAAAAAACTCACAAGCCAGTGTTAACAAAATTTCTGTCAGGCACAGTCCAAAAACCGGAAAACTCACCATATTTCCATTGATTTCAGTTGAAAAACTTGCAAGCAGTTATTTTCGAAATGGAATGTAATCGGGGCTACGATAATTTTGAAACGGTGCGAGCAGCTGAATCGAAAGAAGGCGAAGATACGATAGTTATAGATCCTAGGAATTATCTGCTGCTGAAAGGGCAGATGAAACACATTGTTGAAATAGATTGCATTGTTTTCCTCTGCAGTCCCATGTGAGACAGTCAAAAATTCCTCACCGAATCCCCTTACAACTGAGACTGTTTCAGTATTAATGACATAGGAGAACTGACCTCCCAGTCACTTTTCCTAGACGATCTCAATTTTCATGGGTTGAGCCGAGAAATGGTTTTGGCTGGCTGGCAGCATAACTCGAAGTGAGTCGTGAAATAAACTCTAAAATTAAATAAAAACCGAACACTGTCCAAAGATATCAAACAATGTTCGATAAAGCGGAACAGAACGCTGAAGATCTGGAACAGAGTCACGAACTTCTGGATCAATGGAAGAAACGAGGCGATGATTTGTTGTATTCGATGATGCCAAAAGCAATAGCCGACAGGCTAAGAACGGGGGCGTCTGCTCTGGATACTTGCGAGGTATTTTCAGTAGCAATTAATAAGAAAATTGATTATTTTGCTTCGGAACTTCACGAAACGCTAGTCATTCAATTCGGTAAGTATTTTATTTTGTGAACTCGTGGGACTTCAAGCTGAAACCGTAAAAGAAACCATGGAGATGGTTTCGACAATGAATGAGGTATTTTCCGCATTCGATCAGCTAATGGATAAATTCAAAGTGTACAAGGTACGAACTGCAAGCACTAAAAAAAATGACGCTTCCAAAATTGATTCGCAGGTGGAAACAGTTGACAAGATTTATATGGTAGCATGCGGGGCTCCAGAGAAAAACGAACGTCATGCTGAAATAATGGCCAATGTGGCTCTCAGCATGTTGGAAGTGACTGCAAATATGGTAATTCCTTCTGGAAATGGCGTTGAGCTGAAAATTGGTACGTTAATCTATCTATGGCTGTTCGTTTGCCCAGTTCTGAGGATTAAACGAAAATTAACCGGGCGATTTTTAGGAATCCATTCAGGCCATGCGGTAGCTGGAGTGGTTGGCATTAAAGTTCCGAGATACTGTTTCTTTGGCGATACGGTAAATACAGCGTCAAGAATGCAGTCAAGCAGTGAGGTAATACGATTTGTAATTTATTAGTTATACACAGGCTGAGCTGGTGGTTGAATAGTTTAATCGGACTTTAAACAACAAAAATTCGTACCTTTCAAGCAAGCTGAAGCAGCAACTAAAAATTTCTGAGAACTGAAGCCAAAGGCCTTGTCAAACACTGGAGAAATTTTCATTAAATTGCGAATTTAGACTGATGTTGCAGGAGCTTTTGAACTTGTCGTAAAATTCAACAACGTAACAAACGCGTAACTTGTAGCGCAGTACATTAAAAAATCACAACTCTCTATTCTCTTAACAGCCGTAGCTTCAAACTTCGGCACCATAAAGAAGAAGGTTTGGTGCGACAGCAGACCAAAAAGTTGTTGGAACGCGAGCATCTACCAATTTTTCAGAAGTTTTCCAACTTAGCGTTACATTTTTTAAACAGTAAAACTTATAATGCGGTAGAACTACAGTTCATACTTTCCAAATATGCTGAAGAAGCAACTTGATACTTTCGTTCGCTTACGGTGCAGGTAAGGTTTTACTCAAACAGAGTGATCTTTCATGAACTACCGATACCCCAGTGATTCTCCAAAAGCTTTCGAAAATAACGTAAAATTTGAGAAACCGCATAAGCTGATTTTCATACCTCCCAAAAATTTAAAAAAATTTTGTAAACTGCTTTAACTAGAAACGTAAAATTTCTGTCGTGTCACAAGGAAGCTTCTGACCAGCACGAAACAAAGTTGCAATTCAATTTGAAACTTAATCGATTTTTGATCAGCTTTCGAACTGGACGTAAAATTTGAGAAACCACAGAAGCTGGTTTCATACCTTTCAAAACTTTTCTAAAATTTTCTAAACCGCTTTGAGTAGAAACGTGAAACTTCTGTGGTGTCACGAGGCAGCTTCTGACCAACACTAAACAAAGTTGCAATTTAATTTGAAACTTAACCGATTTTTTATTAGCTTTCGAGCTTGACGCAAAATTTGAGAAACCGGAGAAGCTGGTTTCATACCTTTCAAATTTTTCAAAAATTTTCTAAACCATTTTGACTAGAAACGTGAAATTTCTGTAGTGTCACAAGGAAGGTTCTCACCAACACTAAACAAAGTTGCAATTTAATTTGAAACTTTACCGATTTTTTATTAGCTTTCGAGCTTGACGCAAAATTTGAGAAACCGGAGAAACTGGTTTCATACCTTTCAAATTTTTCTAAAATTTTCTAAACCATTTTGACTAGAAACGTGAAATTTCTGTAGTGGCACAAGGAAGAAGGTTCTCACCAACACTAAACAAAGTTGCAATTTAATTTGAAACGTTACCGATTTTTTATTAGCTTTCGAGCTTGACGCAAAATTTGAGAAACCGGAGAAGCTGGTTTCATACCTTTCAAATTTTTCTAAAATTTTCTAGACCATTTTGACTAGAAACGTGAAATTTCTGTAGTGTCACAAGGAAGGTTCTCACCAACACTAAACAAAGTTGCAATTTAAATTGAAAATTAACCGATTTTTTATCAGCTYTCGAGCTTGACGCAAAATTTCAGAAAYCTCAGAAGCGGGTTTCATACCTTTCAATATTTTTCTGAAATTTTCTAAACYRYTTTRASWAGARACGTGAAATTTCTGTSGTGTCACAAGGRAGSTTCTRACCAAMAMTRAACAAAGTYGCAATTYAATTTGAAAMTTAACCKATTTTTKATCAGCTTTTGAACTTGCCGTAAAAATTGACAAACAGCAAAACTTACAGCACAGTCAAACAAAAATCGTACCTTCCGAATTAGTGAAGGTAGCAACTTGAARTTTATGTRCAGCAAARCAAGAGGCTTSATCCAAAAGTGGTCCGATTTTGGTCAAAATCCGAGCATCCGCTGATTTTCCAGAGGCTTTTGAGTAAAATATAAAATAAAASTWRAAGTAAAATTCAACAAACTGAACCAAATTCATATCTTTCAAAGCAGTTTCGGTCCGAATAAACTATTCAACCCCACGAAACTAGTGGGTTTTTCGAGTTTTTTAGGCCGTCGTAYAATGGAATTTCTTTCTGACGTTTCGCAAGCACCAGTGGCTTGCACCTTCAGAGATGGTTTGCTTGCACGCTTACACTGTTCTGATGAATCTAATTCATGAATCTCTCACTGGTTCACCTGTCGTGTTTTACTGCCTATTTGTTTGTTATTTTGGAATTTCAAATGCCTATTTTCGGCCAATTTCTCGGTTTCAGGCGGGGAAAATTCAGTTGTCTTCGGATTTCCAAAAATTGCTACCCGAAGGCAGGTTCCGATTGGACAGCAGAGGACGAGTGAATATCAAAGGAAAAGGTGCAATGCTCACTTACTGGCTACTTGGAAAGTGAGAACTTGCAATAAACCCCAGTAAAAAGCCTTATGATAACCGAATTGCTGTTGATATTGATAGTTTATTTTATTTTTATTTTTATTATTGCTTTATGTAACGCTTAGTTTATTGTCAAAGCGTATTTTCGTTCACTATGTAAAACGTAAAATGGTTCATTTTGTTAGTCGGGCTGTAAACTCTAGTTTTGGAGTAGAAAATTTCATAAATTCATTTAATAATGTCGGTGTTTAATAATTAATCTATAAATTAGTTATTTATTTCAAACTTTCCAGAGTTAAATTATTACATAATTTTTCAGCTGGCAAAAATGCTGTTTCAATTTCGTCTTTCCCATTTTATTAGCTACTCAAAGCATTTGAAACATTGAAAAATAGCTATAAAATTGCTGCTTACCGCTTTGTCTCCCAACTGTTGAACCTGACAATGCAGATAAACAGTTCTTCCAACGGCGGTGGTAACATTTCTCAAATCGTTGGTTCCAAAGTAAGGAAAACTCCGGGATTCTGCCTGTATGCTGTATAGTTTCACATTTCCTGCAAAAAACACGTTCAATTCAGAACTGAACTGAACAAAATTGCAACTTTTCAACTAGACGTTATTTCTTAAATTATATTTGCAGTTATGCACTAATCGGTTTTTTTATATTTTATATCGATATGCATGATGTTTTTATTGATGGGAAGAGGTGCGCCGAAATCCCCGAAAATCCAGCAGAATCCATCTACGTTAATAAATGTCGGCTGTTTGCAATGCTTGAATGGAATCGATCGAAAAAAGCCCCTGTTTGAATGAACAATTATAAATCATCTTCATCTTTAGTGTGACAATAAATAATGGATTTTACCATCTAAGCGTCACATTTCCATATTTTATGGATGCGTGGCTCAAGTGCAAACTTTGAGTAAATCGATGTTTTAAAGTTGGAATTAAATGAGCGATAGAGGCGAGACTCTAAACCGCTTTAAACGGTTTGGAGTTTGCACAAATACCGCTTTGTTTCAAAGAAATTTTAACCGTGAATTAGCTGATAACTAGTCAGGAAACGTGCAGATTTACCAACAAATTAATGATAAGAAGGATTTTGGTGCCAGAACTTTGAATATTCATTAGCGATAGTCAATGGTTTAGTCGGACTTCCATTGCCTTAAAAAGAAGTTTTAATCGCAACGTTTCCTCGCCTGAAAACGGTTGGAGATTCTACTAACTGAAACGTTGTCCTCAGATAAAAACATCTTTGTAAGACAATGGAAGTTTTTTCTGGGCAGAGCAGAGTATTATGTTTAATAATTAATTGATTATTTCCCAAGGGGACGATTTTTAAGCTTTCAAGTAAAATTCATCTTCAGCTCAGACAAACATGAGGATTTGCCACATCGTTAAGCGCCAGCCCTGGATGAATATAAATGGCTGGTGGCAGAGCTAAAGTTATCTTCGTAACGGCTTTTAATGCCGGTTTTATGTGGAAAACCCTCAAAAATTCAGTCCTCAAGTTGCCATCTCATTCCGCTTAGGCTTGACGTCAAAACTAACCCTTCGCACATTTCCCCCGACATGGCTCATTTAACATCGCGCCATTGCTTTATTAGGGCCGCCAAGGCGAAAAATGTATTCTGGAAAAACAAATATATTAAAATATGTATCATTGGCATGTTTTAACACAGAAATATTTATTTTAGAAGCTTCGGACTATTGAAAAAACGATCCGATTGTAAGTGAACTGGGACTTGAACAAAAAATCATAACTTCCAAACTGCAAAAGCTTTGAACATGAAGTGTAGTCGCAGTAAAGAGGAAGGTCTCAGCGAAGAACTGGGAAACTTTCGTTAAAAGCTCATTTCCCATTCAATTTTTAAACGCTTTTGAACTTGACGCGAATTTGTTGAAAGGGCGCACAACTTACTGCGCGGTCAAACGAAAATTAATACTGTCCAAACCAGTCAAGGTAGCTACTGGACAATTATGAAGAATCAATAGCAAGGTTCGGGTCCAAAATCGGACGAACTTTGATTAAAATCCAATCCTCGACTGGTTTTTCAGACGCATTTAAAGTTGGCGAAAAAATCTAAGAACTGTAAAATTAGTAGCGCACTTAAACAAAAATATATACATTCAAAGCTAGACTCAGCCGGTTAATGAAAATTCCTGCATCCTAAAGACAAAGGATTTGTCCAGGAAGTGATAAATTTTTCTTAGAATTCAAGTCTCTACTGATTTTTCAGAAACTTTTGAACCAGACGTGAAATTCAGCGCATCGCAGCATTTGTAGAACAGTCGAGTAAAAAATCGTAAGTCCCAACATAGTCCAAGCAGGCACTTGAAACTTCGCTGCAATGAATGGACGGGTTTCATACTGAGCCTGCCCGATTTTGGTTTGAATCTGAGCTTGTACTGATTTTTCAGCATCTTTTGAACTTCACGTAAAATTTAACAAAGAGCAAAACTTATAATGCAGTTTAAAAAAATGGCTTCTTTATTTATTGAGGGAGCAACTTGAAACTTTGGTATAATGAAGATAAAGTTTTAGTCTAAAAGCGAGTGAATTTTGATGAGAATGTGAGTCAGTACGAATTTTCCAGAAGCTTTCGAATTTGGCGTGAAATTCTACAATCCGCGTCCCCTGTGGCACACTTAAACAAAACTGCAGAACCTCCAAACCACTTTAACTAGCAATTGGATATTTTGATATGGCTAAAAGGAAGGTTTTCCCTAAATCCGCACAAATTTCCAATGTTATGGAGGTATCGACTGATTTTCAGTCAGCTTTTGAACTTGACGTAAAGTTCAACAAACAGCGAAACTTGTAGCTCGGTTAAACCAAAAATTATAACTCCCGAATCAATTGAAGCAGCGACCTAAAGTTCCTGGCCATTCATAGCGAAGGCTTTAAGTAAAACACTGTATCATTATCATTAGAACATGGGGCTCCGTGAAATTTTGAGAAGCTTTGGAACTGAAGGTAAAACTCAACAAACCCCCTATCGTGTAGCGCAGTTGAATAAAAAATCATAATTTCCAGCCGATGAGGGGCAACAACTTGCAACTTTGGCGCTGTTAAAAAGAAGTACTTGCCTAGACAGTGGGGAAAATCCAAGAAAATCGTATAACTGGATAATTTTTCAGAGAGTCCTGAATTTCCGCCAGAAAATCAAAAATACTCCAGGAAGGAATACAGGTCGAAAACGTCCGCCGCTTCTTGCCAAAAAGAAGCCACAACAACGTGAGCTGATTTATGAAATTTAGAGCGATTTTTCCAAGCTGGGACGACTGTAACAGAATATTGAAAATTTGCCGATTGTGGCCATAAATCAGCGCCTGATTTCCTTTCAGGTGACTGAAATCTTTTTCATAAAGAATTGATAATCCGCCCACGGCTCAAAGAATGGCTTTTATGAATGTGGCACTTTATAGCATGTATTTCACGTTTCTCCGCCTACTTCAGGTTTAACAAATCGTATCCACGTTGCACTGATTAATAAGCGAAGAAAAGTGCTTCTTTCCGTTTTAAACCTTTGAATTTTGTCCGCATCAGGATCGTTTCTGAATGTAAATCGCTTAAACCCCTGTTTAAAAAGTTGCTATTAACGACTTTGGTTTCTGCGATTTTCCTCTTCAATATTTCCACCTTGGTGACATCTTTATAGTAACTAGGAGAATATGCAGAGTTCAGTTTACGATGCAAATTTGTTAAGTATAGAGAGCGTTTCCGCAGGCTGGCAGGTTGATTCCATTATTCCATTAGAGGGATGTAGAGGATTTATTTGCAAATAGAAAATGTTTCCATATGGAAATTACACATTCTCCATTTTAAGAGCATTTAAGAAGTAAAGTCATGGAGAAACAGTGGGAGCAACAGCATAGGGTACAGTTGGTCTTCCGAGTCAATGGACAATGTTCAGTTTGGAGGATTTATTGTCTTGCAAAGATTTTTAATCCGATTTTCGGGCAAAACAGTGGAAGCCGGGATAAATTATTTAATTACCTTCAGTTATATCACTGGAAAAGCTATTAAAATCTAGAGCCTCTAAAAGTGACATCGAGTTACCGAGCAATCCAATAAAGCACTTCCAAGGTATACACAAGAAAATGTAAATTTATTGAATATAGAGCGATGTTTGAGCTGTATGGCAGACGTAACTGGAATAGTAATAGGAATTCTGTCACATCCCTAGATAAATTCGTTTTATTTTGAGATAGGGGAGTTGTGTTATTTGAACATCTGCAGCATTCCCGGTGGTTGGTTTAGGAGAGATTTACAGCAGAAAATATACACCGTCGTCCCGAAAAAACCCTAAATCGGTTACAAACACATCAGTTTTTCAATGCCCGAAAAACCTCTTAGTCTCAGCCATTTTCATATTAAGAAATTTCATGAATTATTCATGGCATTCAGTACATGATGCATCCGGCTCATATTTCATTCGCAACTCGCTCAAAAGACGCCGAAGGAATACTCGCGTCATGAAAGAAGAGATCGTAGATCTTGTTACGCGTTGGAGATGCATTTTCGAGCATCTCCTCTAAATTATTAAGCAGAGTGATGGAGATGGAGGATTAATCATTCCACATTTAAATTTGACATAAATATTTGCTTATCAAGGAAAACCCCGGCGAGTGGGACAAAAAATTGAAATACTGCCTAAATGAATGAGTTTTCATGCAATATCCCTAATTGATTTATTGGCCCAATTTCCATTAAATGGCAAAACAACGTAAACGAATTTTGTGGAAATTCAGCTCAATCCAGCTCTTTAAAGGGGCCAAGTCTCCAAGTTTATTTTCGATCAATTTATGCTAATCGCTTAAACACACTGCGAACATTAACATCGCCGTTAATTAACACAATGATCGGTGAATTATATCAATATCTCAATAGATTGAATAAAACTGAAACTCCCAATCACATCCCGATCCATAAGGCCAAAACCTGTCGCTTTAGGTGCCATTAATCTTACTCTTTCACTCGTTTATATTGCCCCGTAGTTGGTTGCGTTCATTCCTCAATTATTCATTCGATCACAAAGTCGGAATTTTCCTGACAGGTTACACAAATAGCCATTATCATACGCTTTACATA